TATTTGGGAAGAATTTTTTAAAAATATTTTGAAATATATTTTTTTCCTGTGGGGTGTAATGTCTGTGCATAAACAGCGGGAGGGTTTTGTTGGTAAGGAGGACCAAGAGGTTCTACTCAGCGCAGTAACGCTGCAAGGAGAGCCCAAGGGGCTGAATGTTGGTTTCTGTAAACGTATGAGCTAAGCACCCCCTGTGTGGAAAACCTTTTTTTGTGAACTTTTATTTACTTTCAATAAAAGTGGGCAGAAAAAGCCCTGAAAAACATACTTCTTGTTGTGAGGGAACTCACTGTTTGGCGCTACCATGACGCTAAATCACCCAAATCGTTATCACTGTCTATCTATTGTAGTGTCCCAGGGAGGTGATAGCTAGGGTTTTTTTAATCAGAGACTGGATAGCATCCTGGGATGAGTAAGCCTGGGTATGAGACAGTCAAGGTAGGTCAGGGCTGAGGGCTCTGCAGGTCGGTTCCCCTGATACCTCTCCCTGCTCTTGAAGCTTGAGAAGGCCAGTGAGTGAGGGTGAGGGAAGGGGGCTGGTCTGCATATTCAGAGGACTGTGATCAATACCCAAGCAGGGTCAAGTGAAAGATGAAGTGAGAAGGCTGGACTGTGTAGCCTGGGTGGAGGCCCGGGGGAGGGGCCTACCTACAGGCAGTGATCTGCAAAGGAGTATCTCTTTACTTCAACCGTCGCGGGAAGCAGGGAAGGAGCCAGACCAGTGTAAGGCCTGAAGGCAGCCACAAACCCAACAAGCTTACAAGAGAGGCAGAATGAGTAATCCTACACACCCTGAGCCAGGATAAGGGGAGAGGGCAGTCAGGTGGGAAACCCAACTAGCTTCTGGGACTGCTTATCTAAAAGTGGCAGCTTCTGGGCCCTCTTGTTCAGGGATTTTCCTCAGGCAGCTGGGTGAAGAGATTCATCTGGGGTCTAAGGTGGTACACCTGGAGGACAAGAGAGCTCTTCAAAAGAAGAAACCTTTTTTGTCCACAGGCTTGTACATAGTTACTAAGGAGTTTTGCCCTCAAGTTACAGTTTCCATAGCCCATCCCCATACACCCCTCAACCCCATCAAAATTCCAAACCTATTAATAAAACACAAAAAACAAGCTCAAGGACTATTTACTGATTCCAGTGTGCAAGTGTGAAGAAAATGCGTGTTTCCTGGCTGTGCAGAACTATAGGGGGACCCAAAAACTCAGTGACTCCTAAGAGGGTAGTGCAGCTGATGGGGCCAGGCCCATACAGGAGGGTCAGTGGTCCCCCCTTATCAGTGGCCCTAGTGACAAGCATCCCCCCATCCTTGACAAAATCTGGCTGTATTTTTATAATACGATTTCCTATGATTACTGGCTCCATCTAGTGGCCATAATGTGGTATTTTTCTCTGATTGTGGTGTTTAAGATAAAGTGCTGCATTATGGTCACTACATAAAGCTGAAGTTTGTAGGAAATCACTGTACAAAGAAAAATACATCCAGAATTCACAAATACTTGTAACATTTTTCTATTGAATTTTTTTTTATAAACAAGACCCCTTAGTGAACAGTGGAGAGTATAATGTTTTGGTGTGGTCAGATGTTGCTGAGTTCTACTGGAGAACGTAATAAAAAATATTGAACGTACAACAAATGTGCACAACTTTTTTCAGTGTTGTTTTGGTAAATTATCCTAAAAAGAAACACCTGTGAAAGCCTAATGGACCACCTCCTATCCATAAGGACATTTCTTTTTCTAAGGAGTCAGTCCTTTGTTCTAGTTGATTAGTGTGTGCTAAAAATGTACACAAAAAGAGAAATTATGTATTATGTAGCTGAGTCCCACTGAGTGTTTCTAGCACAGATCACTGACCTGAGAATTCTCATTTCCATCTCCTTGGTATTTGCATACACAGTGTGTGGGGGGAACACCTCCCTGTCACTCTCTCTATATATCTCATTGTACAGGAGACGTCTTCTAGTTTGGATCTGACCCTCCAGAAACATCAAGATGCTTTCCCCCAGTTATCTGCATGGCTGTCATCTTCATTTCTATTCAGGGTGAGAGATGAGGCTCCTTCCATCCTCCTCTGCACATACATCTATACATTGTACAATAATACACACATCAGGATTGATAGGAAGATATCCAGACATTGATCAATAATCAATATGTCTCTTCCCATCCTCAGGATCCTGTGGAGAGATTGTGATGACTCAGACTCCGGATTCTATCTCTGTGTCCCCGGGACAGACAATCACCATCACATGTACATCCAGTGCTAATGTAAGGGGCTACCTACACTGGTACCAACAGAAGCCCCAACAACCTCCAAATCTTCTTTATAGCAGGTGCCAGCACTCGGCAATCTGGGATTCCGGACAGGTTCAGTGGTTCCGGATTTTATAACTGGATTCAAATTAACTATTAATGGAGTAACTGAAGATGATGAAGGAAGATATCTCTGTCAGCAGGGTTAAGGAGCTCCCTCTCACACAGTGATACAGAACCGTACAAAAACCTCCTTCTCTTTTCTAAAGAAACACAATCACAGATGTCACACCGGGGGAACATTCATGGTAATAAAGTTTTTAATAAATGGGTTGTTATTGTTAGCAAGAGAACTGTTAACCACTTTACACCCACCCAGAGTAACATTTACTGCAACAGGGCGGGCCCGCTGTGCAAAATCACGTATATATACGTAATTTTTGCACTTCCAGGTTAGGGGTACACACGCTAGGCGCGCGCGACTGCCCTTACCCCGCCCCGCCAATCACAGCCCTGGGTGTCAATCACACCGGGTCCCGACAGTGACTACCTGCCTGCGCCCAATAATTAATGACAAAACACCGACAGGGAGGAGGACTGCATTGTTTACAATGCAGCCCTCCTCCCTGTCCAGTTTGGGCACACTGATCAGGATGGCTTAGTACAGCCATCCGATCAGTGTGCTTACAGTGAAGCACAGCCCCCGCCCCCTAGTAAAACACTCCCATCACACAGTTAACCCTTTGATTTCTCCCCAAATGTTAACCCCTTCCTCCCCAATCCCATTATGTACAGTGTCAGTGCTTTTTTTTTGCACTGATCACTGTATTGGTGTTACTGGGATACGTTAGTGGACACCAAGTCAGTTCCCCCCCAGTGTCAGAATGCCCATCGCAATCCCGCTATA